TAGAGGGAAAAGGATGTCTGTGGCTTTCCCGCCTTGGGAGAAGGTTTCTGAAGTGGAGAAGAGTGTTTATTGGGTCTAAAAGTTTTATTTGTGGATCAGGACCTTGTACTCATGTTGTGCAAGCATGAAACAAAAAGACATACCTTGTGTGTTGCCAGATTCACACACGTTTTGAAAGGGAAGGTTTTAGCGTGACAGCTTGGTCTGAGTGCAGGGATCTGTGGTCTGAGATGTGTGACTGACTGGAGCAGGGGTTAAAGGTGGAAACAGCTCTGCCACGACAAGCCCTCTGGCATTTCTGAGCACAGCTCAGTACAGTGAGGCAGTCCTGAGCCAGTCTACCTTTCTGCAGCTGAAGCCCAAGAGCCACTATTTTGATAACTTTTTAAGGAGTAGATAACAGGTGTGGCCTAATAACTATGTTGGTCATAAGTGAGAGCAGGTATTTGGGGTAAGGAGGGGACTACCTTCTTAACACTACTAGCAGAAAGGGTGGTAGCTCTGCAGAAGTCTCGTTTGCATGGTTCAGTTTGTCTACCTGACACTGCTGGTTGGTGCCTGTGATGCCCATGGCCGTAATCCTGTGGAGGTGTGAAGTGAATGGAGATCCTTCCTTCAGAGAACTTGTCTTGCAGGAGCTGCAGTGAGGGCTTGAGTAGCTCTTAGCTGTGATAGCTGAAAGAGGAAGGCAGGAAGGTAAGGATAAACATTCCTTTGCTCTGCAAATATTATTTTCTAGATAGCTTCCTCTTAGCAGAGGTGGCAGTGGCATCAGAAAGAGCCTTGTATGTGGTGCGGACTCACATATAACTCTGGTTGTCCAAGTATAACTCCAGCTGTATTGCTTATTCTGTAACAGCCTCTGTAAGCCCTCCTGAATCATGCGGTGGCTCTTGCTCCATCAGGCTGTGCACAAGGTAGCCCTCTCATCTCTGCTTTGTTGTAAAACAGCCTCCAGGCTTTGCCATGTGGAACTCGAATTTGCCTTTCCCGGCGAACTCAAGATTCCCCTAGTCTCAAGCTCTTGGTGGCTCACAGCACATGTGGTGTTTTGGGAATAACTCGGCATGAGGGGGTGGAGTGGCAATCTATTCACTCATCCAGGGCTCAGAGTGATGGTGACAGCAGCAGCTGTTCTTCAGCCCCTGTGTAAGTACCTTCCCTAGGTCTGCCTGCAGATCCAGTGTGATCTGCTGACTGACACGGGCTCATGGAGTAAGTAAAGTCCCGAAAAAGCCTGGCAGAAAAGGGTCCTACTTGTTCTTTGACCTTTTTGCTTCTCCCAGGCCAGGTTTTTCTGGACTTTTTATTAAGTCTATACAACTGCTATGGATCTATGTACTTGACTGTGGATATATGTACTTGACTGGCTGCTTCTCAGGTCATGGAGATTAGCTTGTAGAAATATTATACTGCTGTAGTGTATTCTCCCACTTAGCTACTGTGCCTGTGACTACAGTATAGCCTTAAGTTGTGGGATACTTTGCCACATGATGTAGTGCATGCTGAAAACTCATGTGGGTTCAAAAGCAGATTGGAGAAATCAATGGAACAGAAATCCATTGAGTGTTACTAAATTCACAGGTGCCACATCGAGCTGAGGAAGATCCTGTCAACAAATGGTTAGAGGCTTGGAGAGCATGCAGGGTGGCATCGTGTATGCTTGCTCTGCTCTCAAAGCAAGGGTATCTGCTTTTAGCTGCTGTCTGCAGAGGCTATGGGGACCCTTAGTCTGATCCAGCACAGCTACTATTGTATTTCAGAGCTTGTTGATCTTAGTGATACTAAACTAAGTTATTTGGGTTCATAACTCCTGAGAAAATCAGTAGGTATAGCTCAAACTTAAAGTGGAAATTCCAGAAAGAGTGGATTTGGTTGGTTGGTGGTTGGGCTTTTTTGCTTGCCTGTTCCTCAAATGAACAAGCACACTGACACACAACGGTTTTCCATGTTTGTCCCCAGATTCTAGCACTCTGTCATCAGCCTGAGCTGGAAACCAGAGATGGAAGGCATGTTTGTGATTCATTGCTCCCTGATAAAGTGGGGATGGGGGTGTGCGGTGGAAAAAGTGATACAGCCGTCATGTGTCGTATCCAATTGATTTATGTCTTAATCAGGAGAAAGAAAGGAGGGATCCAGGGCAGTTTTATGTATATTTTTACATAACTATTCATGAAGTTTTTTAATCTTAGCAATTTCAGGAATGTGTAGTCTGGTTTTACTGGGGACCACTGGGAAGTCTTAGACAGTTTATGATGAGCTATAACTTTTTAACCAGTGACCTGGATCATACAAGTGCCGCAACTCCTCCACTTCCCCCCATTCCTTACCAAGGGTTCCTAGTCTGTTTACAATAACCCTGTCCACTTTTCTTTCCTTCCTCCTCTTTTCCTACCTTCTTTCACTCCTTCTCCAAAATTATCTTAATATCTGGCTAAAAATCCCACTTCCTCCCAAGTTCTGCAGTTCCTGCTCTCAGCTGTATTAACTCTCAGTTGCCCTTACGTTCCAGTATTGGTGACTGAGCAGAAGATTATTTTTCTTGTCTGGTTTTTAAGTAAATGGACTTTTTACATTAATTTTCAGGGAAGTGAATGAGAGGTAAACAAAAATGCCTCTCTTTGCCCTTGCCTGCATTAGCCTCTGCAGGCTTTTATTTCTCTTTCCTCTGTGGAAAGTTGGAGACAGTTACTTTGTTTTGCCATTATGGTATAGGTATTTCTGAGAATGTGATGGGGACTGCTTACAGAACCAAGGGACAAAGAAGTTCTGCTGTTAGAGACGCACATCCTACCAGGGCAGTGCTAGGTGCTGTGCTACTAAAAGGACTCGAGGCCACTAGACTAGGACGTGCATTCTTGTGAGTTTTGTTTTTTAAATGCAGAGTTATCAAGTTCTTTGTCTTGTGTATAAAAACTCTGTCTTTAGTAAAAAGGGGCTGGAGGAAGTGGATGTGGATGTCCTTCCCTTTTTCTCCCAGAGCCAGCTGTGTGTACAAGTGCGGGCAGCAGCGCATGGAGACAGTGGGGTTTGCTAAAAACCAGACAGTGAGGGGCAACCAGGCCCCACATACGGTGCCTGGGGTGCGTGCTTATTTTAGGCCTTTCTGGCCATGAGCTGTTCCCTTTCCTCAGCTGTTGTGATGCTACCTTTCCCGCACAGTGCTGTCATGCCGCCCCAGTGTTTCTATTTTAATTCTCTCTGGGGCTAGGTCTTGTGACACAAGGATTTGGCATCTCTCCTACGTGCTGAAACGTGGCATCTTGGGAGGCACAGTGGCTGCAGCTGCTATATCAGAGGGTGCCCCTCCTAGTAGCTGGCAGAAGGGGAACACCCCTAGGATTGCAATGCATTGGAACAGACATCATCCCCGCGAAGGAGCAGCAGTGTCTAACTGTGCCCGTCTCTGTCTCCTCCAGTCTTTTTCACAGAGTTTGAAGAGCTCAGGACATACTTGCCTGCTGCCCACCGCTCCCCTGCGGCATCTCACTTTCAGCTTTCAGGTATGTAGTTGCTGGGGACAAGAGTAGAGTTGTGTGCAGCCTGCTGACAAATGGGGGAGAGGGAGGACAGGGACAGCTGGTGGTATGGGCAGAGGTATCATTCAGGTTTCAAGGTTCATGCACCTGAGTGTCATGTCCCGTTTAACAACTTGCTTCTGTGACTGGAATTCAGCACTCTCAACCTTCTGGAGAAACCCAGAGGAACAGCATTAATGCATTAATGTCTTCCTGACACTCTGCGGAATGAGACTGGGCAAACAGAGCCAAACCATCTCCAGAAGAAACGTAGGAAAGTCTTGCAGTCTGTGTTGGGGTGCTTCACCGCATGGCTCGTGCCACTGAGAAGGATTTGCAGGAGGTGGGAGATGTGGACTCTTGACCTGATCTTCGTGTCTGCTGTGTGCTCTGTGGGCTGGCAGAATGAGCAGATACCTCTCTGGGGTGTGAGGAAAGCTTTTTATAACTAGGAATGTGCAAGAGGAGAAGTGGCAGCGAAGGACATCTCTGCTGCATTAACCCAGGCTTGCCTAGAATGGAGTGAGTTTGTGTGTGTGTGACTGGACTTGGGCCTTTCTCCGTTACTCCGTCATTCCTGCACAAGAGCAACCCTGAACCTCTTCCCAAGGAATTCATAGTGTCAGACCGTGTCAGGAACAAACTGGCAATGCAGACTAGCACAGGGGAATGGGTAGAAGCTCTGAGACCAGAGATGAGATAAACCTCTTACCTTCTAGCCTAGATTCTGAGCCGAATGCAATGAGAGTTGAGTGTGATGGAAGCATCAGCTCTACAGGGATGTTTCTAGGGAAGCTGTGCTGCTGGGTGATAGGCATCACTGTGCTGCAGTGCTGTTTGGCTGCGTATGCACCGGTGTGTTGCTGTAGTTCAGCTTGAGCCCAGCTCAGCTGGTGGGCAGCTTATAGGGCTCCTCTCCCCATGCAAGACATGCCTGCCTGCTGAGTCGTCAGCCTTGTTTTCTCCAGTCAGTTGTTGTAATCCCATAATCCTGAGTCATACTGGGAGGCTGGAGTCATCTCCATTGACAGAAGACTTATTTAAATTCTTTCAAGGCAAATATCAAATAGCTTTAGCTACCTCGGTTTCTGTAGCTTTTGCTACTTTCTTGAAGGCTTTGGTTAAGAAAGGAATATCTGCAGACGTGTCTGGTGCTGCTGAAGGCTGTTGGATTTACCAACTTCTCCAATATCTGTACAGCTGAGGTTTGGCAAGATTGGCTTCTACAACATCCTTTCCCAGTGCGCTACAGGCCTGCCAAGGAAGCCGTCAGTCTGCAGGGAGAGAAGGGGCAGGTTCAGTCCTGGGCATCTCTGCTGCATCTGGCCACCTGCTGCTGGAGGTGCAGTGATGCCAGTACTTGTCTGCAGAGCAGTAAGCTGGGCTCCACCAGCTCCCAAGAGTCACAGGGAACTGTGCTCCCTGCAAAGGCTCAGCCAGTGCTATGTTAGAAATCACTTTTTTCTCTCTCCCCAGCTTAAATCAAATCTGCAAAAATTCTTTGCTGCAAGAAAACGGGGGTGATGTCATCAGAAGATGATGCTGGCGGGGAGGCTCCTGGGGGCAGTTTCTGGGAGGTAAGGAAGGATAATCAGAGTGTGAGGGAGGTAGGAATGAATGTCTTCTTACCTCCCACTTGTGGAATTAGAGGGTTGAGTTTCAGGTTCCTGGGTGACAAGTTGCTCTTGGGGAGTGGAAGGGAGGAACTGTGGGGCGGTTCAGTAACATGCTGTGTGTTACTGCAGGGAGGAGGTGACCCTTTCCTCCACAGATGCTATGGAACGAGAGTTCCTTGTTCAGCTGATGCTGATCTGAGCTGTGAGAGAGGCAAGGAAAGCATCTCAGCTTCTTCCCTCCACTGCTGTGCCAGAGGAGGATCGAGCCCAGCTCAAAGGGCCTGTGCTCCTTCCCCATGCAATGACTGACCTGCTGCTTTGTTCTAAAGGAACATGAAAGTACACTATAAATGATGATGTTGTGTGAAATTTCAGGCTGGAAACTACAGGCGGACAGTGAAGCGTGTGGATGATGGGTACCGGCTCTGCAATGACTTGATCTCCTGCTTCCAGGAAAGAGCCAAGATAGAGAAGAACTATGCCCAGCAGCTAACAGAGTGGTCCCGTAAGTGGAGGACCAACGTGGAGAAAGGTAAAGTTGGGAGGTTGGACTGAGATCAGGATGCAATCATCACACTCTCTTCCTTGAGTGCTGTCTCTTACTGAGCTGACGCTGTTTCCTTGGGGGGTCAGGCTTCCCTTCTCCAGGAAGGGGGTGACTTTCTTGGGTGTCTTTTTTGCATGTGTGTTTTTCATAGCCAGTCCTTTGATTTACTTGGAGAGGTGGTCTCTGCATTGTCAGGTGTTTGGTTACAGAAAAAAAAAGTCTATTCGTTTAGTTTGGCAAGTCCTTGGGCAGTCCAAGTCTTAAACCAAGCTGCAGATCTCCCCTTTTAAGGATGGCTGGGCTGCCTCTCCACCTTCTCCTCCAGTCAGAGAATAACTACTAATGCTGCGATTTAGTGGCAGTGAGCTCAAACTGATAGCATCTCACAAAGTAATGGGAAACACTGGGACAGATGCCCCAGAGGATCTAGTGGGCTGTGAGGCAGGAGCTTAGCCTTAGTCATGAACTAGCGTTGCTATCTGTTCTGAAGCTCAGAACAGATCTATGAAGAGAATATTCTACAGAAACCATCTCCTAGAAGGCATCTTCTAGGACAGCTAAGGCTGCCCAAAAGAAATGCCCATCTCAGCCAGATGTAACAGCCAGTCTAGCTGCTGCCTGTTGGGACTCTGTGGAGACCACTCAATGCTAACTTGTGTGATGAGGGAGAGTTAAGGAAGTGACTCCATACTGATAGTTGTGTGAAGGAGGAAAAGAATCTGTGTTCCCTTCTGTGGGCAGGAGGTGTAAGAGCCCCTCTGGTGCTTGTTCTTTCAGGTCCACAGTACGGTACTCTGGAGAAGGCCTGGCATGCCTTCCTGACAGCTGCAGACAGGCTGAGTGAAATTCACTTAGCTGTCCGGAACCACCTGGCCGGTGAAGACTCGGATAAGATCAAGGCCTGGCAGAAGGAGGCCTACCACAAGCAGATGATTGGAGGCTTCAAGGAGACAAAGGAGGCAGAGGATGGGTTTCGCAAGGCCCAGAAACCCTGGGTGAAGAAGATGAAAGATGTGAGCAAAGTGTGAATGGGGGAGAATGGGCAGACAAACAAAGTTTAGCCGGAGTAGCAGAGAATGCCAGAGAGGGAGGGATGTCCTGGTGGTATCTTGTTCTTGGTGGTTTTGTAGCTTCCTTCTCATGTGGGAAGACTTTGGTAACAGGCTCTGTATTCCTGCGCAGCAGGTGAGCGCTGAAAAAAAAGAGATCGCTGGGCAGTAGCTCTTTGCTTTGCAGCATGGTTTACTAAATGCCAAACTGGCGTTCCTGTTAGGTTGTCCTGAAACAATTGCTACTGACTGTAACAAATGTTAGCACGCCCTCTCTAAGTAATAGAGGATCAGTATGGTCAGAATCATGGCTTTCTCTGCATCTTTCTCCTACAGGTGGAGACTTCTAAGAAAAACTATCATGCAGCCCGGAAGGAGGAGAAAACAGCCCATACAAGGGAGAACCACGCCAAGGCAGACTCATCGATCTCACAGGAACAGCTGCGCAAGTTGCAGGAGCGCGTAGAGAAGTGCAGTCAGGAGGCTGAGAAGGTGAGTGTCTGGATGCAGGTCACAAGGATCCTCCTCTCGAGGAAGAAGCACTGGTTGTAGTGTCACTCATGAAATGGCTCCTGATGAAGCTTATAAGGTGTGAGATCCCGTTGTCTGAGGTTTTAGTGAGTTAGACTGAGACTTCAGCAACTAAGACTAAGGTGTCTCTAGCTTTGGTGCTGGGTAAAATCTAATTTATAAATAAACTGGAGGGGGGGAAAGGAGGGGATTTGGTGCAGGGGGTTGGAGCTGCAGAGCTGAAAACTTTACTACCAAAAGGGGCTGTGTTGTGGTTTAGGCCCCGTGTGTAACTGAGCACCACAATGCCCCTGAAAGGGGCTAGTCAAAATAAGGACTGGGAGGGCTTCTCACCACTTAGGATCACGGGCAAAAGACAGACTCATCATAAGGAAATTAAATTAAAAAAATAAAATAAAATTTTTAATTTATTACCAACATCAGAGTAGAACAATGGGAGATACAACCAGATCTTAAAGTCAAAACACCTTCCCCCCACCCCTCCCTTCTTCCCGGGCTCAGCTTTTGTTCCCAGATTCTTCACCTCCCCTCCTTTTGCCTTGAGGTGCAGGGGAATGGAAATGGGGGCTGCAGTCGGTTTTGTGCCATGTGCTTCTCATGGGAGGGAGGACTCTGCCCAGCCTCTCTCTCT